TCTATTTTCGTAATATGATCAGAATAAATTGGTGAAAGCTACTCTTACTTGATCTGCGCGATAGTCCGTTGAGAAGCTGGTGTATAGTAGTCTGTTGAATTACGAAAGAAATGTGTACACTAGACACAACTACTAATGCTGATGTGCAGTACCTCAGGTGATTGGTCGAGAACTAACCTTGCGGAAAAAAATGCTCAGATGGTTACGCATAGCAAGTCACAGTTAGGCCCCGCATTTAACAAGCATATTCTGAATAATGTAACTCTGATTTACGTAAGGTGGGCTTGCATTTTACTTAGGTCGATCTTACTTGCTATGTGGATAGAATTCGCGGCTAAACGTCCGGACAAGGCACACTGAAGCCTGGTATTTCGTTGACTTAAGGCACTGACTTTTATTTAAGAATGTATTGTTCACTATATGTGTAGGCCTTCATGATCTGTAAGTGCTCGGTTAATCGCAAACGTTACACGCTCTTTCTGCATCACCTTATGGCGCACTGCTCGTCGAGGGGTGGATCCGATAGTCAAGGCAATAACCAACAGCTACTTAACTCTTCATCCTCCTGTTATAATGTTGAAGTTTTAACCGGAGTTCCAATTGGGTGGGAGGAATCTTCCGAGTCTGGAATAATCGTGAAGCATCCAGCCAGGATTGGTAGCCGGCGATCCTAATATAAGCGCCGATGTCACACGGCTTTGCTTCTCGCCATCAAAATCATACTCATTCTAGACAAGGTAATGCTAAAAATGTCCGCGTTAAGTTGTGAATTCCTGGCTTCGCTGTGACTTAAAATATAGAGTAGACCTTAAAAACGACCGTCTTTTAATCAACAGTTGCCCTCGGAGAGCTAAAGATCACGCAATTTCAGGACGCCGAAGTGTAAGGAAGCCGACAGAAAAAAACAGGACCGGAAGCAATGGCAGAAGTTCTACTATAGCAATCTATCCAGTCGTGACTGCTGACGCAACCATAAAACTCGAAGCCAGTCCCTTTACCTCCAACCTAAACTTTGGAATGTCTCATATTCGCTCTCAATTATGTTATTTTAAAAACCTGTTCTGAATGCAATTATACTGTTTTTTTCTACGAGAAACACCGTCGAAAAAAAAAAAACAGTCGAAAAGCATAACTACGATTAAGTGACAGAAAGAATTCTTCATGTGTTGCTTAAGGAGGTCTGGCATATATATTTTGTAAGGCACCGCTGACGACTTGCTTGTGGATATTTTGTTAGTTTATACGGTTGCGTATTTTACTTCTTCTGTGCATCCGAATTACAAAAGTCCGGTAAACCATAAGGGTTTACCCGCGCTGTTTAAAATAGCCGCTTTTCTTTCGGCACAGACAGAGCAAAGGCATGCAGCTCATCCGGAAAATACAAATCTTTCGCAGCCTTTCTGTTTTAAGCTCACCGGATAGGGCGTTAAAGTCAAGCAGTAGATTATCCCTAAAAACTTTAAAAGCACTGACCAATATAACGTTGTCCGGTTAAATTGGAGAAACTTTTGGATTTTACTTCAAAGGGAGGGCCAAAAAATGCATGACCAAATAACACTTATAGCAAGGCAGCGCGATTCGAGAACAAATCTATCGCGGCATTCGAGCGTGCAATCGATTTATCGTTGTGTGCTCTGCGCAGGCGTAACCAAGGGCGCAAACCAATGTGTACACTCTGGTGAGGTTACCGATTGGACGACACGCCCAAATGTCACAGGCAGTCTCAAGCGTCTCTCTCGACTCTGTCGGGCTGCCGTACGCACGCTCTCTCTGCGAGCTGTCACTGTTGTTGTTTTAGCACCCATTTATGTTATTATTGTTCTATTTTTTGCACGTTCCGACGTCGTGTCCAGTGCGAGATAGGTGACATTTTTAGATGAAGGGAAAAAATTTGATGGGGAAAGGTATCCTTTCTCGTCAAAAACGTCTTCTTTTTTGTCACCTCCGTTCTAAGCTTCGTCATCAGAAGTTTTTTATATGGTTTCGTCGTTTAATTGTGACGTGTCGCTATTGTTGTTGCCTGGATAGCAGAACTCGTCATGCAGAACATGTGCGACAATGCAAACAGCAGAGACCCAGTCCTCATTGCTGCGTAAGTGGAAAAATTTTTTGCGAATCCTTCGCATCCACTTGAACAGGTAACTGAACCTTCTGAGGCCGTAGGTGCCCGACCAGCCTTTGAACGCTCGAACGCTCCTGATTTGGTCCAGCGTGACCGCGTCCGTTACGGGAATGTGCGGTTGTAAGTATGTTCACTTATGATTTTTTTCGTGTGTTTTAGTTCCGCCAAGCTTCCTGAGCCCCTGATTTTCCAAAGTAGTCCACTCTTAGAACGATTTACGATAGAGGATTAAGGTGTAACTTACAAGAATAAGGTAGCGTTTTTGCTTCACGCGGATCGAATTTCTGCGTAGACCGCATATATATTTGCTTTCGTATCACATAATTTCCTCCTTATATAAGTATAGTTATAATTCTGCTGCACTTTTGTTCTCTGCATTTTAGAATACTGTTGTCTCCCTTTGGTCTTATGAACGCGTCTAACTGCCGTATGCTAGAAAATATTCTGAGAGTTTTCACTCGAAAACTCCTTTCGCCTTCGGAATCCAGCCCTTCTTATGGGGATAAATATCAGTGAGTGAATATTACACTTCTATGGGTAAGGGGAATAAAAACCGGTATATGCTTCTGTTTCGTGCTATTAATAACCCTACTCTCCCACAAGTTAACGCTCTTACTCCGGTAGACCGGCCTTACACTTGTGGTTAACACCTCCAAAACCACCCCGCCCTGGCACCTAATGTGTTTTCTGATAGTTGACGACCCAGGTGCACTATTATTGAGCGACGTAAGGCCTAGGTTCAAAAGGACCTATAGTTCTATATGAAGATGCCTTGCGAAGGTGCACAGAGAGACTGCTCTCTTCACGTTTATCGTATCGTACGCAGGCGTTCTCGATTTTGCGCTGTCGAAGTGATTGCTTAAGTGTCTCGCATTTCTGACGACTGACTCAAGCCCAACTCTCGCTTCTCCAAAACAATTCCCGGAGACATTTCCCTCTTCTCAATTTTCCCATGTCTGACGGTCGAAAGCATAAAATTTGTCCTCCAAGATTAATAAAAAGAAACAAATAATCGCCGAAGCGTCTACGCACAAAAAGGATCAGGCAGCCAGGGTGCTTGACGGAGTTGATAGTCTGCCATGGACAGGGATATATATGTATATTTTAAGGATTACAGGCAAGAAATGCCTTGAGGACCCTATTAATGTAACGCAAACAAGGTTATTCTTACAGTTAATG